GGCGCCCGGTTCCAACCGAGGCCTGTGGCGGGTAAGGCCGGGAGGCTGAGGCGGGTACAGAGCCGGAAGCGAGGGAGGGGATGCAGTCGTCGCCCAGGTGGCCGCGTCCAGAGGCGGCCCCGCGACTCGACCCTGTCCTATCCCCCGCCAGCTGCTGAACCAGGCGGCCAGGGACTGCATGGAGCACGGGGCTTGCGCGGGAGGGACCGTCCCTGGGGTACTGGCCTGCTGGGGCGGGGTCCCCATGGTGTCAGCAGCCGCTTGTCCGCCGCAGCACCCGCAAGGCCCGCACCCAGGTTCTGGCCCCAAAGGTGGGCGCCAGGCCCAGGCACTGCTGGCCTGTGCTGCAGACCCTGATCTGAGCCAGCACTTGGTCCCCGCTAACACGTACTCCAAACACAACATCCCTCCCCTCATGCTGCCCCCCGACATCCCAGCAACGCGTGCACAGCCCAGGAGTATGGCGGTCCTCCCGCAGGCCTACCTCCCCGCACCCAGGGCCTGGACGCCCCCCGAGGCCTGGACACTCCCACCGCGGGGCTCCATCCCCCCTTCTACGCCCCCAATCCAGGTACACAACCTTCAGCTGCAGAACCCTCCTGCCCCACCTGCCACTTCCCAGCGCATCCCCCAGGCCTAAGTTCTTGATGCTAGAGGTTAAACCGCACCCCCCTAGGCCTGCGTGGGCTGAGGGCACCCTGATCCCACAAAAGCCGAGGGTTCCTCTGCTCTCCAGCCCTGAGGCCTCCGCCCCTGGGCACCCGATCTCCATGGAAACCGAGGGCCCTTTCCCGCTCTTCCTGCAGGCTTGGCCCCATGAAGATGAACTAGGCACCCGCGACGTGCTTGGCTCTGCTACCGGCGGCCGCTTTCCTGAGACAGCGGTGCAGCCAAGGGCGGCCGCGGAGGGCTCCGCGGGGGCTTGATAGGGGCCTCGAGGGTGCGTGTAAGGCCGGCGCCGCGCTATGGTGCCGCGGGCTCCTCGCCGCGCGTGGCTGCGGCCGGAACGGCCGTGAGGGCGGCAGCGGGCCTGGCAGCAAGTTCAGGCTGAAGAAGGGCCGCGGGACCCGGGGAAGGCGACCTTGGAGGACGATAAGGACTGGGTTCCTGGAGGCAAAAGGACCGGCCTCGGCAACTACACCTACCGGGCGTGGACTTTGGGCGCTGGACCCACGCGCGGCCCCCACTTCTGTCTCGTACTGGGCGGCGCCCTCAGCACCCTGGGGCTGCTACGGCCCTAGGCCTGGCTGGGCTCAGGGGCGACATCTGGCCCCCAGCCCGCGCCGCCTAACCTGACCCCTAACCCTTAAATCCAACCCTAACCCATGACCCAACACCTGAACCCTAACCCTAACCTCAACCCATAACCTCAACCCCTACCCCTAACCCTAAACTCTAGCCGCAGCCCGAGCCCGAATCCTAATGCTACCATAAACCTAACCCCCGAACCCAAACTTGAACCCAACCCACACCCCTAAAACCCTAACCTAAACC